GGGTTTTGACCAGTGATAAGATGGAGATAGCAATCAATATTGGGTAAGGGTATGTTTGGGTGACACCCCAAACCATGGTTTGGGGAATAATCTACCCAAACAGCCCCTCCAAAAACCAAAACCATGGTTTTGGGTCAAAACCATGGTTTTGAAAAAAGCAAAATTTTTTTACTTTTGGAGAAAAAAGGGAGAGTGTGAGGACCTATATGATATGTATCTTGTTATTTTTTTTATAAACATATTTTTTTATAAATATATTTAATCTTATATTTTATAAATATATATACACATTAATTATTTATTAATTATATTATCTTATGTATTATTAATTATGTTGGTAAAAACATATTATTAACAATTTTATTCCTTCAAATTAAAATATATCATAAAATCTATTTTTTCTGTAATTATCATATTAACTTATGTCTTTTTTTTAGTAATTTGTATATATAAAAAGTGCTTCTGATAACAACTATCCAAACACTCTCACTTCTCAGAATCACTTTTTTACAAAATCTATTCTTCACAGAATCTATTTTCCCCAGAATCTATTCTCCAGAATCACTTTTCCAAACCACGGTTTGGTTTCATCCAAACACACCCTAAGTTGAAATTATAGATTCTTAAATCAATAAAAGTTACCTATTGTTTGGTCATTGAACTAGGTACAAGCTAAATATATCCACATATCCTTGATTACCATCTTTGTATTTTTTCCCCCTAAAGTTCAAAACACCGCACACAATTACAGCCACCCATTCTCAATCATGATACATGAACCCATAGCACCAAAAATACTCTTTTTCTTTAACTCAAAAAATCCAACCAAGCAGTAAAGCATAATATCTAACAAAATTAAGGCCAAACTATCATATGATTCGGTCAAAAGAGCATTCACACGTCCATAAATCTTGCACCATAAACCAACACCATACACCATTAATTACAGCCATTCAGTTCACATCCACACATATGCACACAGGGAAGAAATGTTCAGCTTACCACTCACAGCAATGCTATATGAAAGTGGGAATGTTGTTACTAGAACGGACCACGCAAATAGGTTTGAAAATCCTACAAAAGCATGAAAAAGGAGTAACAGAGAGGTTTCGATTTCTTAAGGGAGTGCACATACATTGAAGGTGGTAGATCAGTTTGATGAATCATCGAGAACTCTAAATAAATTATATTTGTCAGTCAAACAACATCTACAATCAGAGGAGGAAGAAAAAAGGCAAGCCTCCTTCAGCCACTGTGACCATTGACAAGGAGAATAGAGGATTTGAAAGTCGAACAGGGAAGAGAAGAAAAACAACCATGGTACCTTCAGCGGTGGAGGAAGACAGCGGCGATTCTTTGCAGAGACACACTAGCAATGGCACAAACAATGACCCAAATCTGTTTTGATGGAAGAAGCAGAGCCGGCAACACCCACGAACAGAGACGCTAGAGAGAGTGACGAATGGAGACGCAGCCGAGACCAATGGACGGAGACACCGGCGAGAGCAACAAATGGAGAGAGTGCCGAGAGTGAGGGAGGTGAACACGGCTGAATGTAGTAGCACGGGTTCTCTGTTTTGATTTGAAGATAGGCTTGAGCTCGGTCTGGTAGAAATGATAGGTGAGAGAAATTAATACTCATTACATGCTTATTTAATGGCATATTACATTTTGAAACGGTGAAAAGCTACTTCCCAGAGCGTTGAAAAATAAGTTGCTTTTTTTTTTTTTCAAAAGTCTAATTCAAAAGCTATCTATCCAAACAACCAATTTACCTTCAGAAAGTCCCCAACTGACTTGTTACATTTTCCGAGGCACGTTTGGATCTTAAAATGGAATTCCAAACATACCCTACATGTCCTTATACATGCATTTTTGGTTTGCCAATCTATTTGTGATCTAAGTCCCGAAAATGGCTTTGTAAATAATTGGGAAAAGATTTGTAAAATGATACGCTTGGTTTTAAAATTAGGTGCTTTTTTAAAATATTGGTATGATTGTTTGGTTTTAAATTAAGTGCCTTTTAAAAATATTGGTATGATCCTTCAAAAATAGCTTTTTAATCATAATGCATAGAATATAAAGTAAGTTTATGAAAAAAAAATTGTCTCAATTTACATAAATATATTTATAAGTGCTTATATTAAGTAGTTTTAAATATGTACAAGTCCGCAAGTACCCCATTATTTTGATTTGGTGCCTTGGATATAAGATAGAACCCTTTGGGGCTGGTGCTGCGTAAATTAAGAGCTGGACTCCACTTGAGGTACTGGGCTTTTCAAGTTTTATGACCGGGGAAGTGTTTAGATAGAATCAAAACAATAGTTGGTTTGTTTTTTTATTAATAGGGATTACATTTAGCAGAAAGGGTTAATCCTCACAACGTGACGAATTTATATTTGAGTCCTTACTGAGAGAGATGCCCACATTTAGTGCCTAACAATACATCGAATAGAATTGTCTGCAATGAAAAGATACCTATACTTTAACAAAAAAATAACTTTTATAATATACAAAATAAATACGTGAAAGAGTTTATTTCCATTTATAAAAACCCGAACATCCCCCTTATCTATAAGAGCCATAGGCCCTGTTTGGAGTTTTGGAAACCTGTCATAGGAAATAGAAATGGAAACTAAAGCCAATTTTTTGGTTTGATTGATTTGACAATTGACACATGCTTCTTCTTGTTCTCGGAAACCGTAATTTTTCTCTCTCTTTCCCTGCCGGGAATCAAATGGCACGCTTTAAGCTTGAAGATCACTGATGAGCCACGTCATGGGGGCTAATAAATTAAAACTAAACTAAAATATAACATAGTAGCACTAACTTAAGTTGTCTTACTTATTGAAGCCAAAATTGTCCTAGCAATCTAATTACGCATATCAAATTAACTAAAGAGAAAGTACAAGATGTGTGATGCAAAAGTGCCTTGACTAAAACTTGAACAAAGCTAACTATTGACTATTCTTTATAATATGAGTTTTATGAATCAAGATGGAACGCTATGCGATAAATATTCTTGATAACCAAATTCATTAGCCATCATGATTTCACTTTTAATTCAATTCGAGATCTTTGCTAAGCTAAGGTTTGTGAAGAAACATTCTCCAAACCAAAGTAGGAAAAACCAAACCATTATTGTTGAGGAAGTGGATTAAGGACCGTGAGTTAGATTGTACTTAACCGGAATCAAGCCAATAATGATTCAAAAGGTATATTTTTAAATATACATTAGTTATTTTAAATGAAAATTAAAATATAGACAAAATGGCATGCTTTCAATCATAATCAGATTTATCAAATTTGTTTATATAAAAAAAATCCAAATAAAAATTATGATTAACTCACATCACTTTTTAATCAATATTACTTATAAAAATCACAATTTCCTAAAATTACATTTGTTTACCACTAATTCAAGGGAGCGCCCAACTATCGTGTTTAATTGTCTAATCAATTATGTCAAATTAAAAAATAATATAATACTTGAGACCAATTAGTCTAAGTGCCTAGTCCCTCCTTTTTTTGCTTCGAGCTGATTTTTCTTAGATCAGACTGAGTCATACTAGATTATCGGGTTTTTTTACACATCCTTATAGACGATAATGAATTAGAATGCTTTGTGGGTAAGTTTTGATGGATCGGTTTGATTATTACCATTGTAGGCCATAGATCACATTATAGGTCTTTATGCCTACTCGATGCAGTCTATCTAAAGGAGATTTAAATAAAAAAATTATGAGAGACTAACAGAGTTGGGTCTAGCTAAAAAAACTAATATTTCACAACGTGGCTAATCAATATTAAATCCTTGTTAGGAAATGTACCTATATCTAATACCCAATGGTGTCTCAAACTTGTATCTTTTCGTTTGAACCAATCTTATTCAATGATACTAAATATATACACCTTTCAAGATTTGTCATGTTATGAACACTGGTTTGCTTCATTAAACCCCAACTTCTCTTGGTTTTTTTTTTTAAAATATAATAATCTGATATTCTATGTTCTCACGTCAAATTTATGATAAATACAATTGAAAGTACTTCTAACATATTTCTGTAATATAGAAAATACAAACTCTTTACTCTCCTAACATATATAATGTTGTAGAGCTTAAGAAGACATGAAATAGAGATTGGGTAGGTAAAGGACAAGAGGGTTGGATTCAAGGCTTTAATAGTTTAATGATAGGGTTGTCCTTGGATCTTCGTTAGCTTCTCATCAATAGAATTGAAACGAACGGTGCTTCACATCATTTTCCTGATGCAAAGGCCGATACAAATGGCAAATGGAACTTAGCTGGTACTATCAAATTGTGTTCCTCCCTCACTCTTCACTGTGCAAGATAATTTGCATGCTTTGTAATAATCCAATTAATGATCATTCATAGTAATTCTCAGTGATGTGACTCTCAAAATTTTGTATACCCAACCATCACTGCTCAAGTGTCAAGAACAATAACACTATCCAAGAGGATCACTGCACTGAAAAAAAACAACTCATATGTCATAGTATAGTTTAGATTTAAATTTCTCATAAATAGTAACTATAAGCCAATCTTTGACGCATTCTCATCTCCATTCATTGTTCCTATTCCCTGCAACAAGCGTGACCATTAAACAAGATTATCCCCTCTAACAGCACATAATCCACTAGCGTAGTCCACCATCCATTAAACTAGAATGTTAATGTTAGGCCTGCTATGCTGACATGTCCACCACTATTGCCTAGTGCCTAAATGCCCCCTAACGTTGCTGACGTGTCATGTGAAGGGTAGCCACGTGCACACCCTACATAGGCCAGTTTCAAAGTCAATCAGCATAGGCGCCAAACGTACTGTCAACTGCTAAAACGGCAGTTAGGCACACTGCTTCCATGAACTTGCATATATTTGAACATTAACACTCAGTTCCTGTGTGTGTTTTTCTCTTGTTTGCATCGTTTCCTCCATTAAATTTTTTTGAAGAGAAGCGATCAGTATTACTAGTAATTCAATGGGTTTGTGTAGATTTTCCTTGTTTGCATTTTTCTCTGTGGTCGTTGTTCATTTAGGAGCTCATGGGGAAGAAAATGCCGAGCTGGTGAATGATAAAAGTTCTCTGATATCATTCATGAGAGGCATTGTTTCTGACCCAAAGAATGCTCTAGCGAGTTGGAAATCTCCTGATATTCATGTTTGTAATTGGGCCGGCATAAGATGCAACAATGCAAGTGACAGAGTCATTGAGATTGATCTCAATGGAAAATCACTAGGAGGTACAATTTCCCCTGCTATTTCCAACCTCTCTTCCTTGAAAATTCTTGATCTTTCTGAGAATTCCTTTGTGGGTCACATTCCAAAAGAGTTAGGCTTCTTAACTCAACTAGGGCAACTCAGTTTATCTTGGAATTTTCTTGAAGGAGAAATTCCAGCTGAGTTGGGTTCACTTCGTAACTTATACTACCTTGACATGGGAAGCAACCAGCTTGAGGGTGAGATTCCACAATCACTTTTCTGTAATGGGTCTTCCTCATTGAGGTATATAGACCTCTCCAACAATTCCCTAGGGGGACAAATCCCATTGAATAATGAGTGTATGCTTCTAGAGGTTAGGTTCCTCCTGCTCTGGTCTAATAAGCTAGTAGGCCAAATCCCTCTAGCTCTTTCTAACTCCACAGAGCTCAAATGGCTTGATATGGAGTCAAATATGCTGAGTGGAGAGTTGCCACATGAGATTGTAAGTTGGCCTCAACTACAATTCCTTTATTTGTCAGACAATGACTTTGTTAGCCATGATGGCAACACCAACCTTGAACCTTTCTTTGCTTCTTTGAGAAATTTATCTAACCTTCAAGAACTTGAATTAGCAGAAAACAATCTTGGCGGGAAGCTTCCTTCTAACATTGGTGATCTTCCTAAAAGCCTTGTACAGCTTCACCTTGATAACAATCTCATTTGTGGTCCTATTCATCCTCAAATATCCAACCTTGTTAACCTGACTCTACTGAATTTTTCCAGCAATCTACTAAATGGATCTATCCCCCCTAGCCTATGCAAGATGGAGAAGCTTGAGAGAATCTATTTGTCCAATAATTCACTATCTGGTGAGATTCCTTCAGCACTTGGTGGCATTCAACATCTTGGCCTTCTAGACTTGTCAAGAAACAAGTTTTCTGGTTCTATACCAGACAGTTTTGCTAACCTTCCTCAGTTACGAAGGCTTTTGCTGTATGAAAACCAGCTTTCTGGAACAATTCCACCGAGTCTTGGAAAATGCATCAATCTGGAGATTTTGGACCTATCTAAGAACAGAATTTCTGGGGTGATTCCTACAGAAGTTGCCGCCTTGACTAGCTTGAAACTATACTTGAACTTATCAAGCAACAACTTGAATGGCCCTTTACCATTAGAGCTCAGCAAAATGGACATGGTGCTAGCTATTGATTTATCTAACAACAATCTGTCAGGCAGAATCCCACCTCAACTTGAAAGCTGCATAGCTCTAGAATACCTTAACCTTTCTGGTAACTCCTTAGAGGGCCCTCTCCCTTTTTCACTAGGCCAATTGCCTTATATAAAGGCACTTGATGTCTCTTCAAATAGGTTAGCTGGGGCAATACCAGAGTCCCTTCTGTTATCATCTACTCTGAAGAAACTCAATTTCTCCTTCAACAAGTTCTCAGGTAATATATCAAACAAGGGAGCAATTTCATCTCTGACCATAGACTCTTTCCTAGGAAATGATGCTCTATGTGGTTCCATCAAAGGGATGCAAAGCTGCCACAAGAAACACAGCTATCATTTTGTTTTCCTTATAATTCCTGTGTTTCTATTTGCCACTCCCCTCTTGTGCATGTTTGGCTACCGATTGGCACACTGGGTGAAATTTCGAAGGCAACTGGCAATATTTGGAAGAAAAAACTATGATAATGACAAAGAGGAAAGAGAGGAGCTAAAGTATCCAAGCATTTCATACAAACAACTCATTGAGGCCACTGGAGGCTTCAGTGCTTCAAGCTTAATTGGTTCAGGAAGATTTGGGCATGTCTACAAAGGAGTGCTTAGAGATAACACCAGAATAGCAGTGAAGGTGTTAGATAGCACCACAGCAGGTGAATTTTCAGGGAGTTTTAGAAGAGAGTTCCAAATTTTGAAAAGGACTAGGCACAGAAACTTGATAAGGATCATCACGATCTGCAGCAAGCCAGAGTTTAAGGCTCTTGTTCTTCCTCTAATGCCAAATGGCAGCCTTGAGAGGCACCTATATCCAAGCCATGGATTGAGCCACAGGCTGAATTTATTTCAGGTAGTGAGGATATGTAGTGATGTTGCTGAAGGAATGGCCTATTTGCACCATTATTCACCAGTAAGAGTGATCCACTGTGATCTCAAGCCAAGCAATATACTTCTCGATTATGATATGACAGCTTTGGTTACTGATTTTGGAATTTCAAGGCTTGTGAAAGGTGATGAGAGTATGGCCTCATATGATAGCTCGGCATCTTTCAGTTCAACACATGGCTTGTTATGTGGTTCTGTTGGCTATATAGCCCCTGGTATGTGCTGTGAACTTTGATTCTGCAACAGTTTTCTTATGTTCTTGCTAGAATTACTGATGACACTTTTCCTGGAAGTTAGTCAATAGAATTTATAGATAGATGCATTACTAAGACAATAATCAACATTAGGCCACAATCATTTCTTAAAACTTGAGGTGTTTTCTCTGCTGCTCTTCTTTTCTCTGCTAAACGAGAGTATTACTAGGTAAATTCTGTTAAATTGATCTACAGAAGATGGATATGCAGCATGTGCACTTACATAAATACATGCATACATATAAAGTGTTCTAATTTTTGGTAAACTGAAACTTATCCACAAAATTAGTTTGTTTTCTTGTTACTTAAGATTATTATGCCATTTCTTTGCGGCTTGTCCTTTTTGCCCCGCTTGATCATGCTGCGGTTACTTAATCAAACCTTTAAAAGAAAAATCATATGAACTGTGAAATGATAGACAAATTAAAATTCTTAGAAGTCTATTTTACTTGCATCATGAGAGGATGAACCTAACAAATTTGATTTATGGATATACTCGCAATGGTCTTAGAAGACTAAAAGGTTATTCAATGTATAACTGAAAGATGTTTTGAAGAATGATTGTTGAAAACACGTTTATTATTTTAACATCCGTGTCATGATTGTTTAGCAATAACTAAGCAAATCAAGAGTGCTAAACAGTCAATTTTTTTAACAAGGCTAAACAAGTAGTTTTAGTTCACATGGGAATATATTGATTCTACGTTTTTTTTTAGGCAACAATTAATTCCGCATTAAACCCCAAAGGATATACCTTTATGCTGCAAAACTTATTACTATTTCTCTGCTCTTTCATTTGGAAAAACCAGAGTATGGAATGGGAAAAAAGGCGTCAACCCAAGGTGATGTGTACAGTTTTGGAGTATTACTGCTAGAAATAGTGACAGGTAGGCCTCCCACAGATGTTCTTGTCCACGAAGGCTCAAGTTTGCATGAGTGGGTGAAGAGACAGTACCCATACAAGCTAGACAACATTGCTGAGAAGGCATTACAAAGGTTGTCACATTCTGAGCAACGTGACAGCAAAATCTGGCAAGATGTCGTACTGGAACTCATAGAACTGGGACTTCTCTGCACACAGTATAATCCTCTGACAAGGCCAAGCATGTTGGATGCGGCTCAAGAAATGGGCAGATTGAAGGACTTCTTGTGTAGTCCATCATCCTCTTTGCTAATTGATGATGCAGTCAACTCTAAGGTTGATGATTCCTTTTGTAGTGAAGATAATTTACTTGAGAATTAAATAAACGAGTTAATTGTTATGTTTCATCTGTAAATGAAAGATGAGTGAAATAGAGGAAGATAGGTGTGGACTGTTTAGATCTTCTTGTTGCAATGGAGGAACCAAGTGAAGAGTGTAAACATAAAGTGGTAGAGGGAACCCTTCAAGACAATTGGGTCCCACCTACATTTGTTTTTTTACCCCTTCTTCACTTTTTTATCCATTAATTATTTGACACTTTGATCAACATCAATCAACCAATTGTCTACTTGACTTTTTGAACCACTAATAGTTTTCACCATCATAATAAAATTGATTCAATCAATGGTAGTTGAGTTAAATGGAAGGAATTCGATTTTTCTAAACTCCTTAAGTAAGGTGAAAGGTTTGAAGTTGGAGGATGAAAAAAAAAAAAAAACTATGCTGCGAAAACTATCTCCAATTAGGTTTGATAATATTTAATTTAACTTAACAGTACCAAATTCATTGGTTAAAAAAAAAAAAGTACCAAATATGACCAACAGTTTTAATTATAAAATCTCATTTAGATCGGGGATAGTACTATATAATAAATAGTATAACAAATGATTAATTCCTAAATACATTTTCCATATTACTAGCATCCTTAGAATGCTTTATAGATTGAAGGTAGTCAATTTTTCTTCTTAATTCCTTTTGCTGAATACTATCCATTTGTGAGGAGCTCCAATTACTTAATAGTGAAAATATATGAAGGGGAAAAAAAACACAAATTAGTATAATGATAACGCATTATCCGATAATAAGTTGACGACGATTTAAACTTCAAATTACTTTATCATGAACTTTTAAACATCAATGTCATGAAACAACGTCGGCCAAATCATAAGGCATCGATCTATATCTATATTTTACCCTATACATGATGCTCTCTAAGAATAATTCCAACCTCCATTATTCATCTAACTTCCTTTCACATTAACCAAGCACAAATGTGTAATCCATTATATAACATGGTTGATTGTATTTGCAAGTGGTAGTTAAGAGGACAAGTTTTTCCGGATGGTACTCATTATATCTTTATTTGACTCATGCGCGTTGAGATTAATGATGGTATATGAAACAGAAGATGAAATTTTTAAGTGGGTCAGCGGTCAACCACTTCTCTAATTAGTTACTCTCACTATGATGCATGAATATAATCAGTATCAGTATGATTGTCCGTTACACTGATAAAAGTAAAACACTTGGAATCAATCCTTATCTTTTTTTTTTTTTGGGTATAACTCAGAGTATCCAAAAGTCATTTCGGCCGTGAGACTAATCTCTGTCGGACCGGGAGTGTTAAGGTTAAAACCCTCCAAATGAGTGCACTTTTAGGAATTCGAACTTGTGTTTTCGAGGGTGAGACTTCTTACCATCTTAACTAACAGTTTATTGATAGATCAATTCTTGTTCTTTCAATCTCATTTATCGGTAGAAAGTTAGAGTTGTGTTTTGTGGTAGCTACGAGTGAATTCCACAATCGAAACTGTTCTTCTGTTATCTTTCTGCCTACCTTTTATATGCATATAAAAACAGCCGGTGGAAGTTGATAATAACCGTAATCACCGATAATTAAAATATCCACTCGACATTAATATACTTTTCAGCTTGTGCTCATATTTTGCATCACACAATCGAGCACGAGAAAACCGCTACGCCATGCTTATTTGCAGTGGTAGGTCAAGTTGTCCAATTCACTCGCTGGAAAAAGAAGTGAAAAAGCAACATTATAATGAATTGTTATCTGCGTGCAAATTGATGAGCAACAACTAGTGGGTCTTCCAGATATCAATATTATATGAACCTTTCAATTAGCATTAAGATCCCTAATGCCTTTGAGTCAGACACGATTATTTCTTGCTTCAGGGCTTTCTTTGGACGTCATTAATCTCTTCCCAGCGCAAACACAAACCTAGGCCGGTTTTTGAAGGAGCATACCAGTATGTTGACTTTATTTTGAGCTATATACACACACTACCTCCACCAGTTCTTAATATTAGCTCCGGTTCTTAATACAATACAGATGATTAATGTGAAAAAAAATTAAAAAAGTTAAATAAATTATTTTAAAATACTATATTTATTGTTTTTCTCCAAATCAGTTTACTCAGCTTATAAACTGATATATAATCTAATTATACGTATAAATATTTAAAGAGATCATGAGACATATGCTATAATTAAGTAATTTTTTAACTTTTTAAATTTTCTCAAATTAGTCAATTAAGTCTTATATTAAAAACTGGAGGTCGTATAAAAACAAGTTGGAGGTTAGGCTTGATACTCAATATAGGATTTTAATTCTTTTTGTTTCTTAAATTTATAATTTTTTTCTCAAAATAATCCTATTGATTATACATATTCTGGGGCTTTAACTGATTTGTTTCAATGCTCATGATTAGATATGATATTTTAGAAAAAAATAACTGTCTTAATATATCTAAATTAATTATATGGCTTTTATATTAAGTAGCGGACCCGTCTCATCATTTTCCGTGGACCAGATTGTAATTATTCATTGCCTGTATGCTCGTAATCGTTGATGTAATTTCATATGATGATACGGGTCGGCGGGGCAATGGCTTCAAGTTGAATGTGCCCCAGAAAGCGCACGAAGTAATCACGAAATATCTTACTACTAGATATTGCTCCACTCTAGAGATTATTCTCCCTCGTACGATACCATAGTTCATAGATATAAGAGAATGTTAAGAAGTTTGGTTTGATTAGAACATAATAATTTCTTTTTCTATCATTTTTAATACTCTAAAAAACTTAAAAATTACTCATCTGGTCTTTAATATAGGACTCAATTTGGGATTTAATGTTAGTCTTGTATATAAAGATATTCTTTCTATCCTAAATATAAAACTCATTTTATAGTGTATAAGACCCATTTGTAGTATAAATTACACTACAAAATGGGTTTATTATTTAGAACCAGATGAAGTATTTCACATATTTATCGATTTTTTTTCAAATTAACCTTATTAATATTTTCTAACAATAATCAAGTAAGAGAATGAGAGAAGAAATTAAGAAAGATACTTAGAGCGTGTTAAAAAAATAGATAATATTAACTAATTTAGTTAACATCCCTAATTCATATAAATTAATTAATTCGGTCTTATATTAGAGTTGGAAGAGTATCATAAATTGAAGATATATTGATTACAAATAAATAACTACCTTAATACTCTTCCGGTCCTTAATATAGGACTCAATTATTAAGTTAGTTTTGGTCCTAAATATAATACCCATTTCTTATATTTATCAGTTTTCTCTAAATTACTTATATGGATACTCCCTCAACCATAATCAAGTAGAAGAGGAAGAAGGAGTATTAAGAAAGATGATTATAGTGTTTTAGGAAAAATGTGTCATATTTCTTATAATTAACTAATTTACTTAACTTTCTTAATCTAATCAAATTAGTTAAATGGGTCTTATATTAAAGACCGGATGAGTAATTTTTTTCCGGTTTATTTGTGCGCTCTCCAATTTGGACTGTAGGGAATAACTTGAGCTTTGAAAGAAGTCAAATAACACTTATATATATATATATATATATATATATATATATCTCTCTCTCTTTCGGCCACCGAAAAGAACACGTCTTCTTTTTATGAACTTAAATTTTTGAAACATTTTACTTATTTATCACTTCCTCCTGGCCTTTTATAAGCTCATGTTAATTATTTTTATGATACTAAAGAAGTTTTTTTTTTTTTGATACACTGATACTAAAGAAGTTAGATAATATAAAAAATTTTACAATTTTCAAAGTTATTTTTTCTCTCTAGCGCGGGAGGGAGGGAGAATGGAGAAGCCATCCATTAAACATGGTGAAAGATATAAGGACATTTTTGAAAGTAAGTTACTCCTCTAATCCTTAATAGAAGACCTAATTGTTAAGTTAATTTTAGTTCTAAATTTAAGACCTATTTCTCATATTTATCAATTTTTTTTAAATTACCAATATGAATACTCCCTCAATTATAATTAACTAGAAGAGAGGGGGAAGATATTAAGGAAGATGATTATGGTATTTTAAGAAAAACATGTCATATTTCTTATAATTAACTAACTCACCTAACTTCCTTAACCTAATCAAATTAGTTAAATAAATCTTATATTAAGGATCGGAGAAGTATTAAATCTCGGAAGCTGCAATTATTTTGAATCCGATGATGGAACACTCTCTCTTAATGCTTGAACAGTCAGGGTTAATAAATTTGAGATCATTTTTGTGTTGATCTCTGAAACATTTGATACCGGTAGTTTTCATCCAAAATTTTAATTTCATTTTAATTTGTCTAAATTTTTTTTGTCGCTACAGGAATAGTATTTTTAGTTCCTGAAACCTTTAAGACCACTTGTTTCAAATTTTAAAAATTAAAATTAAAATAAAGTTAAATTTTAAGAAGTAGACATAATATTAATCTTAAAATTAAAGGGGAAAAAACAGAAGAAACAAGAAGGGAAGAAAAGAGAAAGAAAAGAAAAGTGCAGATATCTTAGTCCATCCAATCTCGTCCACTAAATAAATCACCAATCAAAATCTCTATAAGTAGTTGATGATGACCATGTTGGGTGGGTAGAACAAGATATATGCAATAATATTAACCAGAAGAAACCCAAGATCTGATCACATGGCGGCCACCGAAAGAGTAAAATTTTGTAGCCTTGGAGTCGCAAAGTGACACCCATATTAGTTCTTTTTCAAAATAATTAATCAAAAAATTCTAAATTCTTAATCTAATTGGCCGTTTTATTAGCTCACAAATACCACACTATTGTACTTGCTAATGACACTTGCTATAACTAGCTTAATCATGCTTATATTATATCACCATCAAAATTTCGGCAACTTTTGATGTTACTGTTTTTGAGATGATAGGGTCTTGTCTTTATCTCCGGAAAAAAGTTAATGACCTTTCAAATCATGGTTAAGGGTAGCTCATTATTTGAACTTCATGTAATACCACTTTTTGTTTTTAATATAAGAGTTAAATAATTAATTTATAAATATAAAAATATTAATTAAATTAATTATTTATAATAAATCAGTATTGTCTTTCCTAAAATATCATTATTAATCATTTACATCAAAATGACAATTTTTTTAATATATGTACAATTACTAT